ATAGATAGATAGATAGATAGATAGATAGATAGATAGATAGATAGAAAGACAGACAGACGAGAGAGAGAGAGAGAGAGAGAGAGAGAGAGAGAGATAGGTAATAAATGGATCAAAGTGTGCATTTCTTGAATGTACTGGGGTGCTATTCTATATTCTCTCCACTTTCTAGCTCTTGTTCTTTTCATTTTGCAAACCATACTGCGGCCAAGCCTGATGTGTAAATTCAGCTGGGTCCTTTTTTAAATCTTAGTCTTTCTCAGCAGGGAGGCAGGAGAACAGCTCCTTAGATGTTATCCCTCCCAATAGACCAATAAACTGCCTTTGGCTCCTCTTGACCCCACTTCACCCCATCTCTGTCTTAAAACAACATCCCCCGTTTGGCATGATGCCAATCTGCTGGACTTCAACGTTCATCCCTCCCAGGCAGCCTGCTGGTTGGTGGTTATGGGGTCTCTGGGAGGGCCCCACCACAGAAATGCCTCCCCTCGAATTCCAGCAATACGCTCGTTCTGGAAGGAGGGTTAGCTCAGCTTGTTTCGCCTTCCTGAAAAAGATGCTCTGCGGCTGTTATTACAGGCGGCAGCAGAAGGCGGAACCCCCAAGAGGTCTGTCTGCCTGCATTCACACAACACACGTAACCTTGTTTCTGAATGAGCCCATTTCCTGAGCAGGCTGCGATCGCCCGGCACTTTGAAACTGCCCAAAAAGATCCCCAGCTAAGTGCTGGGGCGAACGCAACCGCTTCGTCGCCCGCGCAAAGGCGCTGTCTGAACGCAGCCGCCGGCTGAGGTTCTCTCTCTCTCTCACACACACACACACACTCACACACTCCGTCCCTCTCTCCCTCCCTCGTGGGCGCGCGCGCCTCTGAACCTTCCCCCACCACACCTCCGGAAGGCCGAGCGTCGCGGCCGAGCGCCCGGAGGAGGAGCCGATGGAGGAAGGAGGGCAGGCCCTGGAGGGGAAGGTGGCGCTCGGCTTCCAGCGAGGCTTCCTAGCCGGGAAGCGCCTGGCCGAGCTCCCCTGGGAGGTGAGCGCAGCGCCACGCACAGCGGCGCCCGGGAGCGCGCGGTTGCACCAGCACCGGGGCGCCTTAGCGCTTACGGAGAGGCGCGCGTGGGGG